TAATTGTAATTGACAGGGATGAATGACAGGTTAAACTTGTTTTACATGTGCTTTACAACATAAAAACAATGGAGTATGTATGTTATATTACAAAACAACAATAATACTGGCGAGGTACTTGTGGGAAATATAATGTTTTTAATCGCTCAGCCTATTGTTTTTATTGATGCTTTCATCGGGCAAACAATTATCAGCCTGGGCCGGTCATAGTTTGACAGGCACATAGCTTTAAAAAACAATTTGCAAGTTTACTAATTAATTACAGTTCACGAAGATTGTCAGTACCCCATAGATGCGTATTTCTATTGTGGCTACTGACCATGATACCTTACTATATTTTCTATGACCATTATATAAAATAAATAAAATAGATCTATAAGAAAAAAAAATTGCAATGAATTTGCAATTCACGTAGATTATTCTATTAAAAGTACTTAATTTTAGATATTTAATCTATCATAAGGCAAAAAGTTTTTAGGCTATGCATCCAACGCGTACTGGGCTGTACGTCTATATTGCATAATCAGACAAGAAGTCTGGATGTATCGCTTGCTCGTTTCGACTCAGTACGCGAATACAGTTACTGACAGTAAATTGAGTCACTCGTACACATTAATGACAACGCATCAACCTTTTTAACTTATAACTCGTAGAACTCTAATAACAACATCAAGGTATGCAAATTTCACCAAAAAAGTTTTTTTTAAATTTCGCTTTTCCGAAATTACAATATTCTGATATCCCTTATCAGATTAAACTAAGATTTGATTTACGTGCACATGCTGTACGTAGAGTTACGCGCGAGTGTGCGATAGGTAAAAGTGGTGAATATGATTGTAATCAACTTACGAGAAACATCATGGTGAATGTTAACTACTATAGTAATACACTAGATGTACACCGCTCAAAGATAAAAAAAATTAACTGATATCACTCATTATGCACAGTGACAAGAAAATGAAAATGACATTTACCGTAAAAGCAGAGGAGATAATAGCATAAGGATACCTGTATTACTTTTTATAGTCTAACATATTTACTCCATGATAGCTATCACATATCGGTATACACAGCGTTGTTTGCAATCAATTGTGTAATGCTATATTGCAAACATACGATTCTAAAAATTTTACAGTAAAGTACAGTAATATAGTTAGGGTTAGGGTTAGTATTACTGTACCGTATTAATACTTCAGATCACTGCAGCACAGTATTTGTATTTTCTCAATTTTTTTTTTTGGGGGGGGGCTGTATACACTGTGAACTTTTATCTTTGTACTAGCTCGTAATCTAGAAATGCTCCACAAGAGGACTATGTAACTTCTCTTGCGATCGCAGCAACTTACACTTATGCGGTACATACTGTATAATTGCCATTTAGTATACCATAGCATTACATGTAGCCAAAAAACATATATACATTTTGCTCGATTTAAATACTGTTTACATGCTATACTGATTACCTCATGACTTTTGCATAAGTCATGCGTTTGCTTTGAACTTTAATTCCCGTTCATTTGAAGGGGTAGTCTGCTAGTTAACTTCATAAAGATAGAGACTTAAAAATTGAAAATTACGATAACTGTACAGAATCAAAAAGTTAAGAACTACAGTTGATTAGACTGTAACCCAGTATCGCTATTCGAATATATCTACTTATTTATTCAGTGATTCAGCGAGGATGAAGATTCGTATCTTAATTTACTGGCTATATTTTACTGTACAGTAAGAATATAGCCCAGTATGTTCATAATGGTTGCTGCAAAAGCCAACATTGTTCTCTAACTTAGAAATATAATTAATTTTATTACCATTATTCTGTGCTTAGCACCAGAGTTGGAATCCGTTATTTAAGTAAGCGTTATCAATTACAAATCAAAATACCTCAATTTAGAGGTTACTGTGTATTGCTTAATTCTTACTATGAAGTTCTTTACAGTATTCATTTGCTTACATTAAACGTCTCCGTATCATTTTACTGCATCAGTTCTCGATGAGAATTTATCTCGAAAGTAACCTACTACCTGTAAAATTTATTTATCAGTTGGATTCGATGTGCTCCAGATAGCACGTATACAAAATATATATAAATTTTAATGTGTTCCTTCTATATAATAAAATCGTATTGTTGATTTTCAGCAGATAGACTGATTTATTTCGAAATAATATCAGGCAGAGTTCTGTGTCGGAATCATGGCACAAGCGTATAACTGGATAATTGATCATAATTATTGATCACGAATTACTCACTATACGATTTTTAATTTTTTCCTTTTCACGCTAAGAACATGCAGTTCTATAGTTTAATATCCGAGTAGTTTTTATTATTTTTACTTATCTCATGTTAAAATTTCGACTCCTAAAATTCTAACTGACGTAGTTATACTGTGCTATTCTGTAGAATGTATTGGGCAAATACTTTGTTATTGTTAATATGAGCTCAGTTTGAACAGCATACTGTACTGTACTCTTTTAGAGGGAGAAATAAATTGTTCACTGGCTTATTACTGTTGTCTATGATGCCGTTAGGACTTTGCCGTAATACGTTGTATATGTTGCTATACTGTACATATTGCATATGCATATGATAATATACAAGGCGTAATTCCGAGAGCCTCCTTATAACTAACTACTTTACTGTATAACTTCAAAAATTGTAGCACTACTTCTGCATATGTAGCAACGAAACGTACCCTTGTGAAGTTTCTCCTTCTAAACTGTGTATGGTTATCTGTTAGTTGATTCAAGGTGGCGAGCATCTGTATGTGCTTTCCTTACTTCATACTTTAGAAATCAAAAATCTATCGCGTTATGTTTATCTCTGTCAAAATGCTCGTATTGTATATATGTCGTTTACCAATTGGCTATGGCAGACTGCATCAATGTTATCGCTGAAATTAAGAGTTAAATGCAGAATTTGTGATACTGTATGACATACAGTACGTGCTCGTATATGGCACATTACAACTGAGTGGAAGATATACTGTAAGTAAAGAGTATAAAAATACCAATACATGTATGGGTTCGATATTATTTTTTTTACCGTTGCCGTGTTTTTTTTCGACAACACAAACATGAAACAGGGTTGGGAATAAGACTGTCTGCATTTAGTAATTGGAAATTACTGTATGCTGTATTAACAGTGCAGTCTCCAACTATGTGCATTGTGCAACATTATTATATAGGCCTCTTTACAAACGAATGTGTACTGCAAATTTAAATTGCTGTTTTACTGATGAATTGGATTTCACTTCATTATTTCATTTCATATCAGTGATTCAGGTTACCGTCGAAAAAAGGGGACCGTTATGATTTCGTAATCGGTAATTAAAGTACGTGATGTAAACGGGAATATACTGTAAATTTAACGTACGATTCTCTCGTAATACTTACATACATGCCGGTCAACAATAATTAGAAGCATAGACGACTTTCACTCATTGTTTAGCATACGAGATTACATTTAAAACTGTATAATTTCAGTAAATCATGCAGGTTCAACCGTTATTAGAAATCGCGAACAGAATCTGTGTTGGCACAAAATCGACTGCATCACCAAATTCTTAACGTAAAACTTAAATACGTATCTGAGGTGTGACGACTGCAATAAAAGGCGCCTGTTAGTGTACTACGCGTTGATTTATCCACTTGTATAACTTAACATTTGCTACAGGGGATGTACACTTGTACAGTGCACTGTAAAGTGTGTTCATATCACATCAATGCTCTGCGTAATTTTTATAGAGCCATCAAACTAAGTCAAAGAGGATCAAAGATTTCTCTGAAGATCCGTGATAAGAGAAACTCTAATTGTTACAAGGTTGGCATCAGAAACAATTTAGAATACGTGCAGATACTAATGCCAATACTGTCAAAATTTAGGTAGCTAACTGGTAGATAACAATACAAATTTCCTTGTATTGTATCGGAGTAGATCACTACAGTATAATAGACTAAAGCGCTATACTGCACTGTGCAGTACTGTGTACATTTCCGATAGGCGTGCAAGAACACAATTTAGCTTATTAAGGTTAATGACAAAAATCGAACGAAGCTAGGAAGTAACAAATAAGATTTATTGCTGTACAAAAACGACCGTATCAGAAGGTTTATAATGCTGTATAGCGTGAGATTGAAAAATTTGAAATGTTTCGATAGGTTTAAGAGTGCATTGGTGAAGTACAAACGACACTATATATAAAAAAATTTACATTCATTTCTATGACGTATATAAATTCGTCACTTTCTAATTTTAGGATAAATTATCTTCTTATCTCAATGTAATGCTTGACACGGACAATATATGTAAATAAATCAGCAATATGCATTTTGAATTGAGTTATTTTCTTTTTCGATATGTTACATGTTGCTCGAACGATGAGAGCAAATTTCTAGAAAGAAATTTTAGATTCTCTCTGGTCAACAATAAAAATTTGTGCGCATAGATCACCACTACTCAAAAAATGTCGAGAAAAGAAGGCTTGTGCGTTGTAGATTTTTACAACTCAAATAAATTTTAAACTTTAAATTAATTCTTGTACAAATAAATGATAAAGAAGTAATTGCCAATACTGTAGAAAATCAAGCTACGACATTACTACAGTATGTACAAAGGGCTAGGGAATCGCTCATTTCATTTTACATAAATAACTCCTAATCAAAAAGATTTATCTTCACTTATTTGATATCATACTGTACAGAAATGTATATAAATACTGTTCACTGTACGATATACTACCAAACAATGGGCATCGCTTCTAGAAAAGTGATCGACATAAAAAATTTTTCAAAATATTAAATACAATACTGATGAATCGACTTTTCAATTTTTAAAATTAAAATTTAAATCACTTTTACAGCGCTATATATACTGTATATATGTACATACATCTGATTCCAAGTCTGGCTGTGCTGTATTCATCCTGTATCCTGTACACATATTACCATAAAGTAATAGTTACCATGTCCGAAGATTCTTCTTAAACCTCCCTTGATCGATGTCGATCACGACTATGGGTTTTCATATGGATCTTTAAATGATACGATTGGGTGAATGATTTGCCACAAACGACGCAATGGTAGGGTTTCTCGCCAGTGTGGATACGTCTATGACGAGTTAGTGAATAAGCGCGGCCAAAGGTTTTTGTACAAACTTCACACTGGTATAATTTGCCAGTTCTACTTTCATTAGACTGTGGATCGCCAGCACGAAGTCCAGTTATTGCGGAGCTCGATTCTGGACTGGAAATTTCTTTACGAAGATAGTCCTTGTCGTCGAACGTCGATACTTTGTTACTAGTAAAGAAATTTCCACGTAACTCTTCCTCACGTGGAGTATGATGTTGGCTGCTTGTGCTCGCTTGGTCTGGACGAATTTCACCCCTGCTTGGGGTAATTGGAGTATTTATGTTGGTATGACCGGTAATTGATGTCACCACTGGCGTTTGCATGTAGTAATATAATCCTTCAACTTTTGGGCCGGCCAAATAGACTGGCGCTTGATGTCCGTTGTTATTAGACGCATTTACTATCATCGGATGTTGTGATGGATGATAAGTTAGTAAGGGCCGATTAATAAAGGTGGATGGTTGTGTAGTGTTGCTATTGCCGGGTAGAACTGCACGAGGAGTGTTTAATCTCATGACGTTTGTAGTGCGGAGTAGAGTATCCGATCTTGTAACTCTATCTTCATCTGAAGGAGAATTGTTTTTGCTACCTGTACTGACATTACTTCGTTGTTTATTAGAAGCAGTGCTTAATAAGTAACTAACAGAAAAATTGCTTTTCTTACTGGAAGTTTTGATGCTCGTTCGTTCTCGGACTTCAAATCGATCATTACCACGTTTACTTGATTTTAATGCACGTTTGGATCGTTGGCTGTTGTCATCATCAGATCGCGTATTTGTACTGACTATGGTGGTGGTGTCTTCCTCAACAGATTTTCGAGACTTCTTCTCTTTCTCGCATGATGGTTGTGTGACATTGACCTCGCTCTCTTTTAACGTCGTCGATTCAAGGGTTTTGCTAGTAAGCTCTTTTTGGCCAAGGTTAGAATATTTATTGGCGATGGTGCGGCTTTGATGAGGTTCGTATTGACTTGGACTAGAATTTCCACTTTTGCTAGCGATGTTGCTATCGTCGATACCTTGTGCCGAAACGGCAGGCCGTGAAGCACTCTGACAATTGTCTATGTTGATATCTTTGTCAACGTCAGAAGTGTTATCAAGGCTAGGCCCGATGATATTGCTGCTATTACTACCCGATGCTGCAATAGTAATTAGTCCAGCATAAACCAACGCTGCTTGGGTAGTGGCTTCTAATATGAAATTTAACTTGTCTGTAGAACAATTCTCTTTTAGAGCGTTAATTAATTGAATACACCAGCATGTCATATTATATAAAATTACGTGTATGTCGCCGCGTTGGCCTTCAGCGACTGCATGCGGTAACGTTAAGCGATAATTGGTTAACTCTCGAGCCAGTTCATGTAGCATCAAGACTAGTTTTTCAATATTGGAATTGGCCAATCTGTGATCTTCTATAGTCTTAATCAACCATTGAACAAATTGATGAAAACGTTGATAGGATTCTGATGGCGTACTGCTTGACTTAATCGCCTGGATCATGTCAACAGCTTCCTCCATACCTCCTGCCATCAAAGATGTGTACGGAGTCAGGCGCTCAAAGGCAAAGAATATTTCTAGCGCAGTGGATTAACCAACCGACGGAATTGAATGTGTCTCTACAGTACAGTCAGTATACTGTAGAATGGAGACAGCAGTTTGAAATGATACAACAGTGTGTACAACTGACTGTACGGTCAAGTGCTGGGATTCGATTCAAAATGTCTTACTTCTCTATGTCGCTTGACTTCCAGTATACAGTATACTATGTTGGGCTTGTATTGGCGGTGGGTGCTCCACTAACATAAAACTGCATATTGTAAGAGAAAAAAAACAAGGTCATTAATCAGCCATGTACAATGTATGTGTACATGTTTGAATGTTTTTAACGTTTAACAAAACGGCTACAACTAGTATAATACTACAAGTCTGTACAACATACATCGCGTCATGTATCGTACCAATCAATATCCAGTACAACACAGTACTGTAATACAATTTCCAACATCGCTTTTGTTGTTCTCAATACAACATCTATTTATTTTGTTGTTCAGTACAGTACTATACTGTAATCTAATGCCACTATACCGTACTGTACCGTATCGTACCATACCGTAATTTTTTTTCCTCTTATTTGTTTACAGCAATTGCGCTCTGTTATTCATTATCATAAGGAACTTGTATGTGCTGTTAACATATTGTATTTCAAGTCGTAAATCATCGTTGACGACAAGTACGAGTGCTGGAGTACAAGACAGTCGATTAGATTACAGTCTACAGTACATACAATTGATTGGTACTCTGCACTCCGTAACAGTGTACAGTACACGAGTACAATCTAGTGATCGTGCTGTTACTCAGTCATGGACTACTCCATAAACCCCGGGGTTTCCATGACTCAGTATACTGTACAATAAATCGGCAATCCCAAGCCCCTGTACACGGTAAATACATCTGTCCAAGGTTTCCACACCGATACAGTAAAAGATAAGGATAAAAATATATAAAATTGCGCTGCAATGTTGTACTCTAAACAATAAATAACAATAACAGCAATGATAACAATAAGTAATACTGTACACACTGTACACTGTACAGTACCAGTATATTGCAGATAAATCAATATTGAAACAAAGAACCAGTTCCAGTACTGGACGCGAAAAGAGGATCATCGGTCGCTTACTAGCCTACAGTACCTACTGTACAGTACTGTACTGTAGGTTTCCTTTTTTGGGGGGGGGATTACTGTACTGTACAGTACTGAACTCTACTGCACAGACAGTCATGGACCACTGTTTCTCAGGTCTACGACTACTGGACATGTACTGTACTGTACAGTATATTAGAACAAGACCGAACCTTCTCTCGGTTTTCTTCTACTGTACTTTACATCAAATATCAAAAGGAGAGAGGAATGGCCACTGTGGAGTACTGTACTGTATATTGCAGCAGTGTACTTTAACTTTTTGCGATGGCTGAAAACAAAAAAAAGCAGTCAAACAGTTGTCATAAGCGATTCTAGAATACGCAATGTACAGTACAGTACAGTACAATACAAGTGAGTACAGTACAGTACATTGCGTACGGTTGGTGCTTGTACTCTACACTCTACACTGTACAGTAATACCTTGGTATAATCACTGTTGGTTACTTTTAGGACGTCATATCAAAAATACCATACCAAACAAATAAACATTGTAAATAGAATAAATAAAGAAAGAAATGAATATAAAACAACGTCAGTTTACCAGATTTCAGTCTATCTACATCTCTTCATTACTAAATGACATTAACGAACCAATCAATCATGGACTACTAGCAGTTTCTGTGTTTATGGACACGACACAAGCGACGACTGAATGATCGAGCGAGCTAAACCAACAGTCGCCAGTTTCTTCTCTCACTGCATTACTATATCTTGTAGTCTGTGTGCCATGTCAGTACTATTAAATAATAAGCATTTCTAAAAGGGAGAGTGTTCCACAAGTTCCTAACTGTAATACCGTACCATACTTCGCCTGATCAATAATAGAATCAACTTACTCTGTTGAGTGTCAACTGTTAACTTATTGATGCCATGTTGTTGGAGATGAAAAGAAGTTTCAAAAACTACTAATGTCAGTAATAGATCATGACAGCCAGCATACAGTGAGAGGGAGTGGGCTATCTATTTCCATCAGAAATTATATTTTCCAATAGCGTAGTCGTAGGACGTACAACGATGCAGATACGGTATATTTATAACGTGCAATTAACTGTAATCAACTAAAGTATTCCCCGCAATGACGCCCTAATGGTTGATGATGCTAGCCAGCAATATATCATTTCTGACGTGGCGTATACCGCTATAATACCGGGAATAGTACATCAATAGATACATTTCATGTCTTACTACATCAAATTGTAAATCATATTTTGTATAACTATCCGCTGCATTTAAATATTGAAATATTCTTCATTAATCGCTTATAAATTACAGTGCAAGTACGAGTGTCAGTAGATAAGCAGATTTTTAAATTATACAATCAATATATATCAGTGACGAATTAAATCGAACATCTTAAAGGATTATATTATAATGATTTACTAGCTGTTACTGGAACTTTTATGAGAACTATTAATATACAATTGCGAGTGCTAAGGAGGACTACTCAATCAAGCTCCATTTTATCGATCGATCGATTCCCTGGCAGATGGCAATCGTACAGTATACTCGTATATTAACTACCTTACACATCATCAGAAATGCACCTCTAGCAATTTGGGGGCCATGATAATGATTATATTACTTATCGTACGGATAATATAATTAAAGTCGAAGATTCGTATCCGCTGAGAAGTATTCAGAACCAGTTAGTACTGACTACTAGAAAGAGGTTTTAATTATCGAAAATGAATTGACAAATGCAACTCCAGTAATACGTGCTTTAACGTCTATCCATTCTAGGAAAGCAAGATAACATAATTGGAAGTTTTATTCTGATTCCGTTCAACGGAATGATTACACAGTTACTTGTACCTTATACGCAGTTGTGCACAACTACCCGGTTGTAATGATTTTGTAGCATAGTTCAGTTGCGAAAAATACTTTCGGGTTAACTACTGTATGTGTATAAAACTACTATTTTTCAGCCTTCCTAAGCGTATATATTTTATGTTGCATGGTGACTAACGGTTATCTGATTGATTAATAACTGACAAATGGAGATACCAATGAAATCAGGTTATTGTAATAAATGACAAACAAAGCTGTCATTTATTATGATGCAAGTCAAAGATGGTGATGAAATGCCAGAGTAATAAAACAGTAGCAATACAAGATATCACTAATGATTAACATATTGGCCCGTATGACGAATAGATCAGTTATTGTTGAGAGTCAAAGATGATGCATGATCAAAATAACTGATCGTCAATAAGCGAATCAATGATGATAATTGGGTGATGATGGTAGTAATAGTATATAATGAGTGACCAACTGCTGCTTACTCATCAATTATGCGGCTGTGAAACTACCACTATTAGAAGCTGTAAGTCACATGTAAGGTTTTAGGA